AAAATGCTGCTGTCACCAAGCCTTTGCTGGGGGAAAAAGGGCAGATACACCTTGTCAAGGCTGTTTCCCACTCTGGTTCTTTGAGTGCAAAAGGTGGGGGTGCACAAAAGACCTTAAAAATACCCTGCCACTAAAGACTTCTGATGGAAAATTCCCCAAAGTCACAGAATTGTTGACCTTGAATGGTAAGCTTCCGCCCCAAATGCAACCCCTCCCCCCTTTTTGAACACAGAGGAAGACATACTTGGGATGTTTTTTCCTGTGGGGTAACCCCATGTTCTTTAATCCTTCCTCAGGAGAGAGCTTGAAAAAAAAACCTGTAATCTTTTAATAGCAGACCTTCAATCTGAGGCACATGGATACAGAATCTCCTACCTTTTTAGGACACAGAAATCAGATTATAGTCTTTTAAAAGTGATTTTATTAACAAAACAATATATATTTGGTAAAGCATACTTGGTTGTTAGGTGTTATAAAGCAATTAAAAAAAAACAGATGAAGACACGTAGAATTGCTTTCCTGTGATTCAGTTTCAGTTACAGCATATGGGGAGTTTAGTACAGAGGAATATAACCAAAGTTTTAAAAAAAGCCAAAGAAAATAACCTGATCGTGTCTAACTAAACTTTCCCTGTTTTACTTACATTTAGTTGCTCCAAAATTTAGGTTCCTTTTCTCAGACATGGATATTGCTGGGTAATCCATGCCTTATTCCTATTCAGTCCATTTCTCTCCCAGCTCTTACTCTGACTTGCACACAAAGGAAACTGAAACAGGATAAACTTGTTTCATTTAAAAAATATTTCACTCTCCTTCCATTGACTCTCCTGGCTCCCTACCCACACTTCCTGGATATCACTGTAGTTACTGAATGCTGGAAAGTTTAGAAAAGGGTAGTACACTTCCCATCCATCATGTCCCACAGCTGTTGGCTATTCCTCCATAAAATATGCCAAATCAGCAACAAAAGTAAACTTCTGTCTCTCCACACTGGTTAACAAGAAGTCAGAGATTCAGCAACCTTAGGGTATATCTAGACTACTGGCTTTTGTTAACAGAAGTTTTGTCGACAGATACTGTCGACAAAGCTCCTGTCGACAAAGAGCGTCTAGACTACATCCAGTTCTGTTGACAAAGCAAGCTGCTTTGTCGACATGACAGTGTAGAGACAAAGGACAGTGTACATGCAATAATGCCTTCTGTCGACAGAACTCTGTCGACAGAAGGCATTATTCCTTGTAGAATGAGGTTTACAGCCGTCGACAAAACTGCTGAGTTCTGACGACGTTATGTCGACAGAACTCAGCGGCAGTGTAGATGCAGGTATAGTTTTGTCAACAAAAGTCCACTTTTGTCGACAAAATCCTGTAGTCTAGACACACCCTTAGTTATTCCAGTCCTTGATTCAACACCTAGACACTAGACTTATTGATGAATGGTTATTTAAAACCACTTTCATCAAACAAAAGATTCTTCTTATCTAAAAGACCAGCCATATACTGATGTCAATATAAAACTCAGATCTTATATAATAATCACACTGTTGCCAATCCTTAGTATATAAATTATAAAGGTTTATTTGAAAGAAAGGAAGAAAGAAAGGAAGTTAAAATTGATTAAAGAAATCATATACCTACAATAATTGCGAAGTTCTTGGATCAGGCTTGGAGCAATGATGGAACAAACTGCTGGCTTGTTATGTCTGGTTTCTTCTAAGTCTTGAGAAGGGCCTCAATCCCTTGGACAATATCTACACAGCAGCCTTATTTATTCCATAATAAGACGTTATTCCAAAATAAGAAAAAGAACATCTACCCAGCAAGCCACTGTTTTGAAATAATGGCAAGCTGAAGGATACTTATTCTGACGCTTATAACCCTCATTTTAGAAGGAATAAGGGAAGTCGAAAGAAGAATGTTCTTTCTTCGACTTCCTGCTGTATACACTACACCAAAAGCCAAATTACGCTGTTTTGACTTCAGATGGCCTGGACTTGATGATCTCTTGAGGTCCCTTCCAGTTTCAGTATTCAGTGATTCTATGACTTTTTTGCCCTACTGTGTAGACATGCCCTTGGTTGGAATACTCACATTAGTATAAATTCATAGTCCAGAGATTTGAGCAGAAAAGAGGCCAAATGGAGAAGTTTCCAAGGCCTTTTATAGATTCTTTCAAATGAAGGAAAAACCCACTGTTCTTAATGTGGAAAATTATAGGTAAGAAGACGGTGTTTGGCATCACATGAGTCACACAAGTCAAATATCCATGCATGCTTTGCTTAGTAGCAGAAGCCATTACCCATACTATAGTTAGAACATGCACAGAACAGTTGATTAATTGTAGATAGGCATTTTCCATTTTGAATTAACTGTTCTTTGATGGGCCATTTGACTTGAATAGTTCCTTCAAAATGTGCTGATTAACATCTTATTGGTGTTTCCACATGAGCAAACATTTGAAACATGGGTATATAATTTAATATTTGTAACTTCAGATACAAAAATAATACATGCATGCAAATAGCACAGTCATATTCAGCTAATCGTAACTTTTGTATTCAGACCTTACTTGACACACTTTCTATAAGATTTGTTGTAATTGTATAACAGTGGTAGCAACAATGATTTACATATTCATCTTTTAATCAGATAATTCTGCTGTAAATCTTTTTTCCTGACTATTTATTTATTTAAATATATAGATTTTGTATGGGTTGGAATGCAAAATTTCAGCCTTATATCTAAGAAGTTTTTGCATGTTGTAATATAAGAAAAATTGTTTTTGCTGTTTTCAGTTACAAACATTGAGTGGATACATTTGCAGGGCAGATTTTTATATTTAGCGCTCTTGTAACTTAAATAGTTATTTTTAAAGTTACCAGGTTGTATCCTTAATATGTCTTTAACAATAAAGAAAATGAGAAAAATAGAGTATTTTAAAAGAAAGTGAAGTGTTTCCTAAGTCAGCATGAAAGAACAGTTTACTGTATGTATTATGTCAGAGCCAAATCTTCATCCACCTTTGGGTATGCAAGACTCAAAAAGCAATGATAATGTGAAATGTGAGTTGTACATCAGGGTCAGTGAATGGAAAGGCCATACAAAGTGAACTTTGCAGCTTTCTCTAACACACCCATAGGGGTCCATTGTGAGCAAACCAGAGAATTATAATGATGAAGTATTCACAAAATGTATTCACCATCTCCAGTCCCCATATTGTTGGAGTATGAGCATAGTTGCTGACTTATAGTTGCATAAGTCTTTCATGCTGACTTATGCCTGCTGCCCTTGTATTTCCAAGGAGTACTGGCTAGTCAAGAACAGGATATCCCTTTTTGCAGGAGTGAAGAAGGATTCTGTTTTTCCATGCAGCTTCATATTTCACTTGTACTAAGATGTCTTACTCAGGCTGGGAGGCAAGAATCAATATTTGGCCCCTGGTTAGACCCATTTCCAAACTTGTATTTGTAAGTTGTTCCCTCTTTTTCCAGAACCTGTGTCTATAGTAGGGAGTGAGGGTGCGAGTAGGAGTGGAGGAGGGAGAGGAGACATTACAAACACCATAAGGTGGAGAAAGAGTGCAGCTCCCTGTTCTGATTTAGTTGTTTGTAATGATATCATTTCTTTCATAAGAAACACAGAATGTAGACCTCAACTCAGGAGATGTCAGGTAAAACCAAACAAAAGCTTTCCACTTACTCTTTTCAAATAATGCAAGGTTTTTTATTTAGTTTGTTTTGTGGTGAGTTGCTTTTTTGTTGTTGTTTTTTTTTAATGAAGAGCCTATAGAATTAAAACGAAAACATATTATTAGGATAATTTTAAAACAACTTTTAAAAAATCTTAAAGTTCAAATAGATGAAAGAAACTAATGGAAATAAAATTGGGGAAGTAAGGTATTCCTATCAGACATTTGTGTGAAGAGCATAAGTGCACATGCTCATCATGTGCCCGCCATAGCTAAGACATGATTGCCTACTGACTGTCAGTTTTGGGGTAAAAGGATAGGGAAGAGGAAGAATCCTCTCTCCAGATCACAGAGCAGAAGGGGACCAGTCCCAGTGATGCTACTCAAATGCTGCAGTAGCTATTTTGGCCACTGTGCCCCCCTCATCCCTTTGTGTGGGAAGGACTTGAGGATGGATAGAACCTACATACTTCACCCTCTTCAACTGGAAAGCGTTACTGTGGCTTGCAGTCACCAGAATGCTGGATTGCTCACAAATAAGAGGCTCCCCAGTCAGCGCAACCACAGCAGTTCCACTGTGACATATGAAGCCTGTTCATTTGGAAGGAGGATTTGAGCCTTTTTGATAGACAATTTTACAAACTGGTTGAATTACCTAGTAAAAAGCATCTAATTTCAACTCAAAGGTGCATTAGTTGTATACCAAAAATGTCATAAGGATATATATATATTTCTGTGCAGGAACTTTATGGCTTAGCTGCCAAAGGAGCCAATACAATTTTCTGTTCAAAATAAATACCATAAACTGCTTACATAGCAGACATTTATTTTATGGGAATATTTATTCTATGATTTTTAATGTTAAGGGGTAAAAAGAAATGGTCAGTTGATCTGTGTATTAACATAGCAGAGAACCTGATTCTGGCCTGTACTTTAACCACAACAACTTTCCTCCCTAATTATGTGCCTAACTATTGTTTTGCATGTGGAAATATGGATTTTTGTCGATATGTTGTTGCATGCAGACTTTTGTGGGTGCAACCCCTGTGGGGGGTCACATTTAAAAATATATTCATTGTATTTTGATTACATTATTAATGTATGAATCATATTTGTTCCCACCAATACTGGAGTACTTTTTATGAATATGATCTTTTAAGGTTCTCTTTTCATTTAAAAAAAATCTTTAGTGTCCTGTTGAATAGCAATTTACAAACAACTTTTTTAAAATATAAGATGTGCATTTTTTTCTTTCCCTTACATTACCACTTTCTATTCCTTAGAATATTTTCTCTTTCTGTGATTCCTTTACAGCTGCTGCACATAAAGTCTGATAATGATCAACATATGTTTCAAAGACCCTCCATCTTTTTCTGGTGTAATAATGAGGATTCAACTCCTTGTTTAGATATCTCTTCCATTACACTTACTCCTATGAGCTCTCCTGACTCCAGACTATCATCTGGACTATTAACACCACCACCTTCAAAAAGTGGTCTTCCAAAGCCAGTCAATGAATACAGCATCCCAAGACCTCGTGTAATCCTGTTGTGCAAAAACTTCTTTTTCTATTTTCTTATATTCTCTATTGTGTGTTGATTGTATACAAATATACATTTTGTACAGTGGTTAAAGGACAGATCAGATGTGTTGCAGGTTTTTTTCTGGGTTCTGTTAAAAAATAGAGACTTTTGAGATGTTCTGTAGTTCCTGCATCATATCCTTAAGATAATACCTTATTTTCCCAACTTAACATTTCTTCTTCTATACTTTCTAATGGTTTGCCTGTATGTGCTATATTTATTGGATTAGTTTGCTATTTTGGTAGAATAATTATACTAATAATAGGTATTTATATTATTCAAGACAGTGTCCCAAAAGTCTGATTTGAAGGGGTTTAAAATTTTCAGTAGAAAGAGAACTTGGGTAAGTGAGAAAGTATTGATTAGCCAGAAGAGCAATCAGCCATTATATTTGTTTTACTGTAGTTTATATGAACTCTGTGCAAAATGAAGGCTGCCAGTTATTTTATTCTAAATTGATCTGTAACATGCATATTGACTGCCTTCTCATAACAATATGTCAATACTCACAACCTTTTTTCCATTTGCAAATAACATTTGGCTGTATTTGGCAATCATCATGGCTTTCTGCATGCATTTACTGAATAAAAATGCTTCCCATGTTCATCCAGATTTTAAAAGTACACATTTATTTTTTGAATTAACAACTAATTGTGTAATTTAATATAATTAGTTGTATTAATGGTAAAAAAATACCCAATGAATTTGACAAAAAATTAGAATATTGAACAGCATAATACAAATGAAAGGCTTTTTACAAAAAAGACTCATTTAAGACTGACCTTAAATATTATTTGTCTATCTAGCTTCTTCAGAGCTATTTATCCCCTTAAATTCACAATTAAAATCTACTAGCCATGATTCACACAATGATCTTCCATTAATGTCAGTGCGAAATCTGCATGTGGATCTAGGATAATTTATGGCTTGTACATATGTGCAGGGCCCAATACCATACTCTTGATGCAGACAAATCCCATCCCACAATAGTGGGAGTGCATTTACATGAAGACTGTGAGATCAACTCACTTTTTGATTACTGTTTTTTGTGACATACAGCCTGGAAATTACACACATGACATTAATGGGAGTTCCATGCGCTGATTAACAAAAGTCTATTGCACATAAACAATACATTCTCAAGTACCATTGAGCCACCTGTGAAGTGCATTTGCTAATGCCTCTTGATGTCTACAAGTGTGTGTATTTCTAAAGTCCCTCATAAATTCGTCACTTTAAAAAGAAATTGAATTCTGATCTTACCACAGACGAACAAACATAAGAAAATTATTTATTTTAAATAGAATGAAGTAAAAAGACACACCAATTTTTTACTTACCTTATGATCCAGTTCTTAAAGGGGCTGAGTATCTCCAGACGTCCAATATGAATATAAAATATTAATTCCAAATTCCTGAGCTAGAAATGATGGAGTTTTAAGATAATGCTAGCACGAAAGTCTATTGAATGCAATTGTATAGATGAATATACAGGAAATAAATACTTTGAGATTCTCTCTAGCCCAAGTTTTATACATTACATAGATAGACAGATATAGATATATCTCCAAGCACTACAGTCTGCAAATGTTCATGAGTCTACATAGTCAAGAAACAGGCTTGCTTCTTGCAGAAAACAACACTTAAAATTCCCCAGCATAGTAGGAAATAAAGCAATATCTCAATGAAAGAGGAAGTACTGAAAACGAGATTTCTGCCTCCAGTGATTTCTTATTCTGTACCTGTCTCATCTTCCCTGCTTCCCCACTGCTTCCTGGAGAGGTGCTGATTGAGAGAATGCTATGGATGAGGGAAATCTTTATGTGTAGCCTCAAAAAGCAGAGGAGGCTGGTTCCAGCCTGTCTATGGACTTTGGTAAAAATAACAATAACCTAGTTATGTGGGTAGAAGGTTTTATTTGGTAACACAGAAAGTGCATGTGCTACTAAGGAATCACATTCCGATATCCTGCTCTGCACTTCTTTTCTGGAATAAAGTAGTCTGTGGCTGTATTTCTGTGAAGGGACAGTTTAAGTTGCCTAAATCAGCCTGTTTTAATACTGTGGTTAACCCCTCTTTCATGTCAGCATTTTGGCCAAACTGGGAACTATTTCGCCAAGTAGTTAAGAAATAGTACTTATTTTTGCCTAGTATTATAGTGTTTCTAGATAAGCAAATAAATTAATGTGCGTAAAACTGAACTTGCATACCATATACAGTGGTATGTCTTTTGCTTTAGTTTGGTTTGTCACTCTGAATTTGTAAGCTATTTTTAGTGTCTGTTTTGTATTGACTTAATTCTAATGTATTCTATGTCCTGGGAGTGAGAGTAGAACTGCTGTATGATCTGTGATTAATGGTTTTTTTTGTTTTAATATGACTTTGGAACTACAGTAACTTATTTTCTTATGAAGTGTTTGAAGTCTGCTAAAAATCCTGGGCTTTCATAATGAAATATTTTCTGCTCTCCACTGAAGGATAAAAAAAGTTTTATTTTGGATTTTAATACTATATGTTCTTAGTGTGTTGGATGTCCAGATGACTACATATCACACAGTATATTTCATGCATCAGAACAGCAGTTCTCATATCTTGTCAAATAAATAAACATGTTATATAATGAGAAATTAGAAAAAATGGGAATTATATCTTTTAATATCAAGCATTATTTCTGTGCAATCCAATATATAGCCTATTGTGGTTGTCCCATTATCTTAAATGGGTCTTCGGAATAATACCTTTATTCAAATTCTTTTTAATTTAAAGTTGTTTCTTTCTAGCTCTTTCAGGTCTAAATGTCATTTCTGGTTATCTCAGATATACAGAAAATGTTAAAATTACAATGCTTGTTTGAGTTTTAGCATGTCCCATAAACTCTTGGTTGTGAATGCCATTTGCTTGTCAGGAGCTGTTTTTTGCATGCTGTTATTTCTGATACTGTAGCTCTTATCTGCATGCTGAAAAGTTCAGTATTGTGATTTTTCATGTGAAATATTACCCTAATATTTATTGTCCTTATTGTAGGCAGGCAGTGTGACACCTAAATCACCCTCCACTGACATCTTTGATATGGTTCCCTTTTCTCCCATATCCCCTCAGTCATCAACACCTACTCGCAATGGCACACAGCCTCCTCCAGTACCCAGTAGATCTGCAGAGATCAGTAAGTTTTTTAACGACTGACCTTTTTTCTTACATTGTTTTTTACTAAAGCATCTCAAATGGTTTACTGACTTTTTCATGACAAGCCAAATGCTGTTTTTGTTAGTCACGTGTCTGATAATACCATTTCATTTTATACCATCTGCCCCAAATTCTTTGCTGCTCCTGCCAAGTTAAATAATTAATAAATTCTGCCACGTTAAATAATTAATAAATTCATTTAAGTGATGAAATTATCTTAGTCACAATTTGATAGCTGGGAATTGAAACTTGGCTTTCCTTTTTAGCATTTTTTTAAAGTTATCTCAGGAAATGTTATGACTTCCAGTTACATTTTCTTTATCCCTGCTTGCAACATCAATATTTCTTGAAAACTTCCATTGGTGGGAATGGGGAGAGTTGAGATGGTATAGAAGGGGAGTTGAATTCATGACTGATTATTCAGAGTTTATTAGGATAATAAAGTTCATGTCACTGTTCATGTCATCCACGAGAATAAAATCTCAACACCTCAGTATTCTGTTTCGAGCATCTCACTGTGATGGAGGAATATTGCATTGTATTGCTTTGTCCGGTCTTTCAGAACTAACCTCAGAGTGGCTGAGCTCTTGAAATTTGACCTGAGGATGTTCTAGATAAAGTAGAGTACCTAATTCAGCCCAACTACAATACCACTGAAGTCACTGGTGATGGTGAACTAGAGTGCCTCGTGTTAAAGGAGGATACTGATATAATAGGCATCACAGAAACCTGGTAGAGTGAGGACAATCAATGGAACACAATCATTCCAGGGTACAAAATATATCGGAAGGACAGAAAAGGTCATTTGGGTAGGGGAGTGGCACTATATGTGAAAGAAAATTTAGAATCAAATGAAGTAAAAATCTTAAATGAATCAACATGTTCCATAGAATTGGTATGGATAGTAATTCCCTGCTCTAATAAGAATGTAACAGTAGGGCTCTATTATCGAGCACCTGACCAAGACAGTAATAGTGACTATGAATGCTAAGGGAGATTAGAGAGGCTATCAAAATAAAGAACTCAATAATAGTGGGGGTTTTCAACTACCCCCATATTGACTGGGTACATGTCACCTCAGGACGAGATGCAGAGCTGGTACAGGAACCCACAGGGGGAGAGGCAATTCTTGATTTAGTCCTGAGTGGCGCGCAGGATCTGGTCCAAGAGATAACTGTAACTGGAAATAATGACCATAATATGATAACATTTAACATTCCTATGGTGGGAAGAACACCTCAACAGCCCAACACTGTGGCATTTCCTTTCAAAAAGGAGAACTGTGCAAAAATGAGGAGGTTAGTTAAACAGAAATTAAAAGGTACTGTGACTGAAGTAAAATCCCTGCAAGCTGCATGGACACTTTTCAAAGACACCATAATAGAGGCCCAACTTAAATGTATACCCCAAATTAAAAAATATAGTAGAAGAACTAAAAAAGAACCACCGTGGCTTAACAACCATGTAAAAGAAGCAGTGAGAGATAAAAAGACATCTTTTAAGAAGTGGAACTCAAATCCTAGTGAGGTAAATAGAAAGAAGGATAAACACTGCCAAATTAAGTGTAAAAATGTAATAAAAAAAGCCAAAAAGGAGTTTGAAGAACAGCTAGCCAAAAACTCGAAAGGTAATAACAAAATGTTTTTTAAGTACATGAGAATCAGGAAGCCTGCAAAACAACCAGTGAGGCCCGTGGATGATCGAGATACAAAAGGAGCACTTAAAGACGATAAAGTCATTGCGGAGAACCTAAATGAATTCTTTGCTTCAGTCTTCATGGCTAAGTATGTTAGAGAGATTCCCAAACTTGTCACATATTGAAATGTCATTAGAGGAGGTTTTGGAATTAATTGATAAACTTAACAGTAATAAGTCACCAGGACAAGATGGCATTCACCGAAAAGTTCTGAAAGAACTTAAGTGTGAAATTGCGGAACTATTAACTATGGTTTGTAACCTATCCTTTAAATCAGTTTCTGTACCCAGTGACTGGAAGATAGCTAATGTAACGCCAGTACTTAAAAAGGGCTCTAGAGGCGATCCCGGCAATTACAGACCAGTAAGTCTAACGTCAGTACCGGGCAAATTAGTTGAAACAATAGTAAAGAATAAAATTGTCAGACACATAGAATCATATCATTGAGTACTAGGACTGGAAGGGACCTCGAGAGGTTATTGAGTCCAGTCCCCTGTCCTCACGGCAGGAATAAATACTGTCTAGACCATCCCTGATAGACATTTATCTAACCCACTCTTAAATATCTCCACAGATGGAGATTCCACAACCTCCCTGGGCAATTTATTCCAGTGTTTGACTACCCTGACAGTTAGGAACTTTTTCCTAATGTCCAGCCTAAACCTCCCTTGCTGCAGATTAAGCCCATTGCTTCTTGTTCTATCCCCAGAGGCCAAGATGAACAAGTTTTCTCCCTCCTCCTTATGACACCCTCTTATATATCTGAAAACTGCTATCATGTCCCCCCTCAATCATCTCTTTTCTAAACTAAACAAACCCAATTCCCTCATAGGTCATATTCTCTAGACCTTTAATCATTCTCATTGCTCTTCTCTGGACCCTCTCCAATTTCTTCACGTCTTTCTTGAAATGCGGTGCCCAGAACTGGACACAATATTCCAACTGAGGCCTAACCAGCACAGAGTAGAGCAGAAGAATGACTTCTCATGTCTTGCTTACAACATACCTGTTAATGCATCCCAGATTCATGTTTGCTTTCTTTGCAACAGCATCACACTGCTGACTCATATTCAACTTGTGATCCACTATAACCCCTAGATCCCTTTCTGTTGTACTCCTTCCCAGACAGTCGCTTCCCATTCTGTATGTATGAAACTGATTGTTCCTTCCTAAGAGGAGCACTTTGCATTTGTCTTTATTAAACTTCATCCTATTTACCTCAGACCATTTCTCCAATTTGTCCAGGTCATTTTGAATTATGACCCTATTCTCCAGAGCAGCCGCAACCCCTCCCAGCTTGGTATCATCTGCAAACTTAATAAGCATACTTTCTATGCCAATATCTAAATTGTTGATGAAGATATTGAACAGAGCCGGTCTCAAAACAGACCCCTGCGAAACCCCACTTGTTATCCCTTTCTAGCAGGATTGTGAACCATTAATAACTACTCTCTGAGTGCGTTTATCCAGCCAGTTATGCACCCACCTTATAGTAGCCCCATCTAAGTTGTATTTGCCTAGTTTATTGATAAGAATATCATGCGAGACCGTATCAAATGCCTTACTAAAGTCTAGGTCTACCACATCCACCACTTCTCCCTTATCCACAAGGCTCGTTATCCTATCAAAGAAAGCTATCAGATTAGTTTGACATGATTTGTTCTTTACAAATCCATGCCGGCTGTTCCCTATCACCTTGCCACTTTCCAAGTGTTTACAGATGATTTCCTTAATTACTTGCTCCATTGTCTTCCCTGGCACAGAAGTTAAACTAACTGGTCTGTAGTTTCCTGGGTTGTTCTTATTTCCCTTTTTATAGATGGGCACTATATTTGCCCTTTTCCAGTC